AAGAGAAACAAGAAATGATAGAGGAGGAAGAAAAAGAGAGATGGGAGAAGAAAATGAAGAGAGAGAAAAAAGAAAATGATAAAGGGGAGGAAGAAAAAGAGAAACAAGAAATGATAGAGGGAGGAAGAAAAAGAGAGATGTGGAGAAGAAAATGAAGAGATAGAAACAAGAAATGATAGAGGGAGGAAGAAAAAGAGAAACAAAGAAATGATGAAGGAAAGAAAAGAGAGATGTGGAGAAGAAAATGAAGAGAGAGATAAACAAGAAATGATAAAGGGGAGGAGGAAAAAAGAGAAACAAGAAAATGATAGAGGAGGAAGAAAAGAGAAAAAAGAAAATGATAGAGGGAGGAAGAAAAAAAGAGATGTGGAGAAGAAAATGAAGAGAGAGAAACAAGAAATGATAGGGAGGAAGAAAAAAGAGAGAAACAAGAAAATGATAGAGGGAGGAAGAAAAAGAGATGTGGAGAAGAAAATGAAGATAGAGAAACAAGAAATGATAAAGGGAGGAAGAAAAGAGAGAAACAAGAAATGATAGAGGAGGAAGAAAAAGAGAGATGTGGAGAAAAATGAAGAGAGAAAAAAGAAATGATAAAGGGAGAAGAAAAAAGAGAGAAACAAAGAAATGATAGAGGGAGGAAGAAAAAGAGAGATGTGGAGAAGAAAATGAAGAGAGAGAAACAAGAATTGATAGAGGGAGGAAGAAAAGAGAGAAACAAAATGATAGAAGGAAGAAAAAAGAGATGTGAAGAGAAAAGAGAGAGAAAACAAGAAATGATAAAGGGAGGAAGAAAAGAGAGAAACAAGAAATGATAGAGGAGGAAGAAAAGAGATGTGGAGAAGAGAATGAAGAGAGAAAAAAAAGAAATGATAAAGGAGGAAGAAAAAGAGAGAAACAAGAAATGATAGAGGGAGGAAGAAAAAGAGAGATGTGGAGAAGAGAATGAAGAGAGAGAAACAAGAAATGATAAAGGGAGGAAGAAAAAGAGAGAAACAAGAAATGATAGAGGGAGGAAGAAAAAGAGAGATGTGGAGAAGAGAATGAAGAGAGAGAAACAAGAAATGATAAAAGGAGGAAGAAAAAGAGAGAAACAAGAAATGATAGAGGGAGGAAGAAAAAGAGAGATGTGGAGAAGAAAATGAAGAGAGAGAAACAAGAAATGATAGAGGGAGGAAGAAAAGAGAGAAACAAGAAATGATAAAGGGAGGAAGAAAAGAGAGATGTGGAGAAGAGAATGAGAGAAAAACAAGAAATGATAAGGAGGAAGAAAAAGAGAAACAAGAAATGATGGGGAAAGAAAAAGAGAATGAGAAGAGAATGAAGAGAGAGAAACAAGAAATGATAAAGGGAGGAAGAAAAGAGAGAAACAAGAAATGATAGAGGGAGGAAGAAAAAGAGAGATGTGGAGAAGAAAATGAAGAGAGAGAAACAAGAAATGATAAAGGGAGGAAGAAAAAGAGAGAAACAAGAAATGATAGGGAGGAAGAAAAGAGAGATGTGAGAAAGAAATGAAGAGAGAGAACAAGAAATGATAAAGGAGGAAGAAAAAGAGAAACAAGAAATGATAGAGGGAGGAACAAAAGAGAGATGTGGAGAAGAAAATGAAGAGAGAGAAACAAGAAATGATAGAGGGAGGAAGAAAAAGAGAGAAACAAGAAATGATGGAGGAAGAAAAAGAGAGATGTGGAGAAGAAAATGAAGAGAGAGAGAAACAAGAAATGATAAAGGGAGGAGGAAAAAGAGAGAAACAAGAAATGATAGAGGGAGGAAGAAAAAGAGAGATGTGGAGAAGAAAATGAAGAGAGAGAAACAAGAAATGATAGAGGGAGGAAGAAAAAGAGAGAAACAAGAAATGATAGAGGGAGGAAGAAAAAGAGAGATGTGGAGAAGAGAATGATAATAGAGAAACAAGAAATGATAAAGGGAGGAAGGAAAAGAGAGAAACAAGAAATGATAGAGGGAGGAAGAAAAAGAGAGATGTGGAGAAGAGAATAAAGAGAGAGAAACAAGAAATGATAAAGGGAGGAAGAAAAAGAGAGAAACAAGAAATGATAGAGGGAGGAAGAAAAAGAGAGATGTGGAGAAGAAAATGAAGAGAGAGAAACAAGAATTGATAGAGGGAGGAAGAAAAAGAGAGAAACAAGAAATGATAGAGGGAGGAAGAAAAAGAGAGTTGTGGAGAAGAGAATGAAAAGAGAGAAACAAGAAATGATAAAGGGAGGAAGAAAAAGAGAGAAACAAGAAATGATAGAGGGAGGAAGAAAAAGAGAGATGTGGAGAAGAAAATGAAGAGAGAGAAACAAGAAATGATAGAGGGAGGAAGAAAAAGAGAGAAACAAGAAATGATAGAGGGAGGAAGAAAAAGAGAGATGTGGAGAAGAGAATGAAGAGAGAGAAACAAGAAATGATAGAGGAGGGAAGAAAAATGAGGGAAACAAGAAATGATAGAGGGAGGAAGAAAAAAGAGATGTGGAGAAGAGAATGAAGAGAGAAACAAGAAATGATAAAGGGAGGAAGAAAAAAGAGAGAAAAAAAAATGATAGAGGGAGGAAAAAAAAGAGATGGGAAGAAGAGAATGAAGAGAGAGAAACAAGAAATGATAGAGGGAGGAAGAAAAAGAGAGATGTGGAGAAGAGAATGAAGAAAGAAACAAGAAATGATAAAGGGAGGAAGAAAAAGAGAGAAACAAGAAATGATAGAGGAGGAAGAAAAAAGATGTGGAGAAGAGAATGAAGAAAGAGAAACAAGAAATGATAAAAGGAGGAAGAAAAAGAGAGAAAAAAAGAAATGATAGAGGAGGAAGAAAAAGAGATGTGGAGAAGAGAATGAAGAGATGAAACAGAAATGAGAAAGAAGAAATGATAAAGGGAGGAAAAAAGAGAGGGAAGAAGAGAAATGGGAAGAGAAAATTAAGAGAGAGAAAAGAAAGAGGGAGGAAGAAAAGAGAGATGTGGAAGAGAATGAAGAAAGAGAAACAAGAAATGATAAAGGGAGGAAGAAAAAGAGAGAAACAAGAAATGATAGAGGGAGGAAGAAAAAGAGAGATGTGGAGAAGAGAATGAAGAAAGAGAAACAAGAAATGATAAAGGGAGGAAGAAAAATAGAGAAACAAGAAATGATAGAGGGAGGAAAAAAAGAGAGATGGGAAGAAGAGAATGAAGAGAGAGAAACAAGAAATGATAGCGGGAGGAAGAAAAAGAGAGATGTGGAGAAGAGAATGAAGAAAGAGAAACAAGAAATGATAAAGGGAGGAAGAAAAAGAGAGAAACAAGAAATGATAGAGGGAGGAAGAAAAAGAGAGATGTGGAGAAGAGAATGAAGAAAGAGAAACAAGAAATTATAAAGGGAGGAAGAAAAAGAGAGAAACAAAAAATGATAGAGGAAGGAAGAAAAAGAGAGATGTGGAGAAGAAAATGAAGAGAGAGAAACAAGAAATGATAGAGGGAGGAAGAAAAAGAGAGAAACAAGAAATGATAGAGGGAGGAAAAAAAGAGAGATGGGAAGAAGAGAATGAAGAGAGAGAAACAAGAAATGATAGTGGGAGGAAGAAAAAGAGAGATGTGGAGAAGAGAATGAAGAAAGAGAAACAAGAAATTATAAAGGGAGGAAGAAAAAGAGAGAAACAAGAAATGATAGAGGAAGGAAGAAAAAGAGAGATGTGGAGAAAACAGAAGAGAGAGAAAAAAGAAATGATAGGGGAGGAAGAAAAGAGAAAAAAAGAAATGGTAGAGGGAGGAAAAAAAAGAGAGATGTGAAGAAGAGAATGAAGAGAGAGAAACAAGAAATGATAGAGGGAGGAAGAAAAAGTGAGATTTAGAGAAGAAAATGAAGAGAGAGAACCAAGAAATGATAGAGGGAGGAAGAAAAAGAGAGAAACAAGAAATGATAGGGCAGGAAGAAAAAAGAGATGTGGAAGAGAATGAAGAGAGAAACAAGAAATGATAAAGGGAGGAAGAAAAGAGAAAACAAAAATGATAGAGGGAGGAATAAAAAAAGAGATGTGGAGAAGAAAATGAAGAGAGAGAAACAAGAAATGATAGAGGGAGGAAAAAAAGAGAAACAAAAAAATGATAGAGGGGAGGAAAAAAAAGAGATGTGAAGAAGAGAATGAAGAGAGAGAAAAAAAGAAATGATAGAGGGAGGAAAAAAAAGAGAGAAACAAGAAATGATAGAGGGAGGAAGAAAAAGAGAGATGTGGAGAAGAGAATGAAGAGAGAGAAACAAGAAATGATAGAGGGAGGAAAAAAAAGAGAGATGTGAAGATGAGAATGAAGAGCGAGAAACAAGAAATGATAGAGGGAGGAAGAAAAAGAGAGATGTGGAGAAGAAAATGAAGAGAGAGAAACAAGAAATGATATAGGGAGGAAGAAAAAGAGAAAACAAGAAATGATAGAGGGAGGAAGAAAAGAGAGATGTGGAGAGAAGAGATGAAGAGAGAGAAAAAAGAAATGATAAAGGGAAGAAGAAAAAAAAAGAAACAAGAAATGATAGAGGGGAAGAAAAAAAGAGATGTGGAGAAGAAAATGAAGAGAGAAAACAAGAAATGATATAGCGAGGAAGAAAAAGAGAGAAACAAGAAATGATAGAGGGAGGAAAAAAAAGAGAGATGTGAAGAAGAGAATGAAGAGAGAGAAACAAGAAATGATAGAGGGAGGAAGAAAAAGAGAGATGTGGAGAAGAAAATGAAGAGAGAGAAACAAGAAATGATAGATGGAGGAAGAAAAAGATTGATGTGAAGAAGAGAATGAAGAGAGAGAAACAAGAAATGATAGAGGGAGGAAGAAAAAGAGAGAAACAAGAAATGATAGAGGGAGGAAGAAAAAGAGAGATGTGAAGAAGAGAATGAAGAGAGAGAAACAAGAAATGATAGAGGGAGGAAGAAAAAGAGAGAAACAAGAAATGATAGAGGGAGGAAGAAAAAGAGAGATGTGGAGAAGAGAATGAAGAGAGAGAAACAAGAAATGATAGAGGGAGGAAGATAAAGAGAGAAACAAGAAATGTTAGAGGTAGGAAGAAAAAGAGAGATGTGGAGGAGAGAATGAAGAGAGAGAAACAAGAAATGATAGAGGGAGGAAGAAAAAGAGAGAAACAAGAAATGATAGATGGAGGAAGAAAAAGAGTGATGTGGAGAAGAAAATGAAGAGAGAGAAACAAGAAATGATAGATGGAGGAAGAAAATAGAGATGTGAAGAAGAGAATGAAGAGAGAGAAACAAGAAATGATAGAGGGAGGAAGAAAAAGAGAGAAACAAGAAATGTTAGAGGGAGGAAGAAAAAGAGAGATGTGGAGAAGAAAATGAAGAGAGGGAAACAAGAAATGATAGAGGGAGGAAGAAAAAGAGAGAAACAAGAAATGATAGAGGGCGGAAGAAAAAGAGAGATGTGGAGAAGAGAATGAAGAGAGAGAAACAAGAAATGATAGAGGGAGGAAGAAAAAGAGAGATGTGGAGAAGAGAATGAAGAGAGAGAAACAAGAAATGATAGAGGGAGGAAGAAAAAGAGAGATGTGAATATAGAGAAAGAGGAATAAAAATGGAGATAGAAAAAATAGATTGAAGGAGAGAAAGTGAGAAGCAGTGAATAAATCATAGACAATGAAAGTAAATGAAAAACACAAATAAAATCCGAAAGATTGAAAGAGAGTGAAAAATATGACACCGAAATCCGAATATACATTGGAAGAGCAATCTTCACCTTCCAAAAGCTAAACAATTTATGAAAAAAGTTTCGTTAAAAATAACGAAGAGAACACTCAACTGATTTGAAATATCTATCCTTACCTTTATCTACGAATGCAGGACAATTTTTCCTTAGATGAAGGTAGACCTAAGTTTGCTGAGAATGATATGGAATGATCATCTTAGTAAAGAGGAAGTATTCAAAAAAAAGGAAAAAATTAAAAATGTAATAGACACTTGTATATTTTGACAGAGAAACATTTGGTGTTTTGCAGAGACATGGTAAATAAAGTATCCTTGGAAAATTTGAAACTCACAAAACATACTGAAGGCAAGTAAAGCAAAGGGCTTGTGTAAATGGATAGCAAATCTTGGACAGGAAGTGATAGTAAGCTGTCAAAAAGTTTCTCACAGTTATAGAAAGATGTGGAGAGCTACAATCGTTCACATCCCGTAGGAGCACCACACAGATTTGAACAAAACGAATATTAAATTAGATTGGTGGCAAAATTCCACTTGAAATTTCTAGGCAAACTTAATGAGGAAAGAGTGCTTGGAGAATTAGTCACTCACAAGATAGAATTTAGAAAGCAAGGGAGACAAAGGAAATGAGCTTTCCAACGGTTGGCGAAATATGGATTAGGAGAGACAGTAAAAGGGAAACCTTACTAACAGTCATCATAGAAAGGATGTTTTGGAGAGCTGGCATCGTCCACACGACATAGACGTAAACAGACAAGGTCTCATTAATTTACACTTGAGCTGGCTAGATGTAAGCGTACAGTCTATGCTAATATTTAATTTTCTCGTACTTCTTGCTTGTGTAACTCCCTACCGGCTCCATGATTTTCAGCCAAATTTAATCTGCAAAAATTTAAATGCCATGTTAATCTTCCTGATTATTTTTTTTCTCTTTCAGCTCATTACTAATGCTTCAGTTCCTAATTCTTCCATATCCAGTAATCCCTTGTATCTTAACGGCTTTACTGCCTTGCATCGGGTGATATCAATTAAAATAAATCTATCTATGTCAGTCTTTTTATATGATTCTTTCTTCCTGCTCCATGCATTCCATTCTACTTCGATGACCAAAAATTTAAAGGCAATATCAATCGCTATCTACTGTCCTCCTGATTACTCTTTCCTCTTCCCGCTCATTATTAATCATTCTGTTTCTAATTCTTCCACACCCAATAACCCTTGTGTCTTAGTGGCTTTACTACCTTACTTGTGGAAGTCTCTTCTGGCTCTATGCTTTCAAGCCAACTTTAATCTTCAAAAATTTAAATGCAATGCCAATCGCTATCTACTGTCCCCCTGATTACTCTTTCCTCTTCCCGCTCATTATTAATGTTTCTGTTCCTAATTCTTCTACACCCAATAACACTTGTGACTTAGTGGCTTTACTGAAGTGCATCGGGTGATACAGATTTTTTTTAAAAATTGGTAAACAGAATGATGGTGTTGAGATATTAATTCGTAATTTGGAACAAAAGCAGTCTTTTGACGATAAATCTCTCTTTATTTTTTCAGGAGATGTCTCCTGTTTGGGCGTGGAGCCATAAAGTTGCCAGAAGAGATGATCATTAAACAGTGAATTTACACGTAGGACCTTGAGATGAGAAAATTGCAGCTCAGGAGTAAAGAGTACAGGGCTTTTCGCCACGCATATCTTGAAACATGCCTTATCAGAGTCATAGATACAATTGACTCTTTACATTCTCTTCGAGAATTATTCTTTGCTGCACCCATTAAAGAATATCACCGGACATATTGCGATTAAAATTCGTACATAGAGATCTCAAAGATAATCTCGACCAAAAGAGGGAGCTGTTTAGCACCGGTGAATCATAAAAAAAGAATTTCGCCTCAGACAATGAAATTATTACACCAAGCGACACGATCAAGTGCGTAATGTTATATCTGATTAGTTTGATTAAAATGAAAAAAAAAAAATGAAGCCTATACCACTTCAGTATGTAGGCGATCGTGGTAATCCACAGCTTCCTTTCGTTTTATTATTTTTTAATTGACTTGATTTTCTGGGAAAGATAGAAGGATAATTTCATGTTGCTTCTTGCACGGTTTTAAAATAAGAGATATTCTCATAAAATGAACGCCATGCAAGAGTAGACAGCCTAGTTTTCACTGATAATTTTTTTTTCAATCATTTCACCCCAAGCAAGGCAACAGAGCCATGAAGACGCAAAGTGTTACTGAGTGTGAAAGAATATAAGAAAAAGGAAACGTCACATTATTAAGAAACGAGAATATTAAAAGAACAAGAATTAAGAAGACAGAAGACGACGATTGGCATTACATTTATATTTGAAGATCAAAGTTGTCTAGAAAGCAAGAAGCAGGAAGAGAGTTCCACCAACGAGAAGTACTTGTAAAGAAACATTTAGCATTTACATCTAGCTATTTCAACTGTAAAGTGAGGAGACTTTGCCGCCAAACTAGTACTTCGTTTTCCCGAGTGCGTAGACTGATGGATATAATATACCCTCTTTTACAAAAAGAAAATCGGAGCGTCTATTTCAAATATGGTATCCACTAAAAATGACGTTGGAGATAATAAAATTCAAATTCTTAATCTTAGAGCCGAGATTAAATTCCTGCTGGGCTTGTTATATTCACTTATGAGCAAATGCCTTTTGGAAAGCTATGAATCCACTTCTTCTCTCCCCAGTTATGGGTTAATTATTAAAACCACTAAATAATTTTCGTCTCAAAAAAAAAAATCTTACAATCTAAATATATTTTCTTGGCTTTAAATACCATGCAAAGGGTTGATAAACCGTAGAAAACGACTCAATCAGACAAGAGGTTATCGAGTTCAGAAAGGAGTTCCACGAACGTGAAGTGCGAGAAAATAAACTATTAGAACTTAAAAGGGACCTCCTGTTATTTAAACATTAAAAAGTTGAAACCTAATTGCTTAAGTTACTCTTAAGTTCATGTAATCCAGATACAAACAAGGCGAAACGCATCAGGACACTTGCCATGACATACATTTATGGAAAAGATAGAGTAAAGTCACATCATGGCGGTGAGAAAATATGACTGAAGCCGAAGTGACAGATCAGGACCAATACAATTGCAGACCCTCCTTTGGATTCGCAAAAAAAAAATGAACTATACTTTAAATCCCAAATGTCTCGACTTTAAATACTCCCAAAAGGTGAATAAACTTTAAACATCAAACAAATAACCCTTGACTAGCATCCATCCAGCCACGGCTATACAACTTTGTCTTTTTTTTTAAGCATTACGCCCCGAGCAAGGCGTGAAGCCACTAGGATGCAGGGGGTTGCAGAAGATTTGGAGCGAGAGCAGATAGGAGTGATAGAGGAAAGGATGAGGAGAGGAATAGTGGATAGATCAAGGTAACTGAAGATGTCGATTGACATTACATTTGAATAGTTGGAGATTATAGCTCTCAGGGAAACAGTAATTGGGAAGGGTGTTCCACAGGCGAGAGGTGCGAGGTATGAAGCTATTGGAGTAGAAGAGACGGCTACATTTAAAATTTTCTACAGTGAAAGGGTGAGAGTGGGATGCCAGTCTCGTAGGGCGCTTGAATTCATGGAGTCTGGGAACCAGTGAAAGCAGCTCATCGGAGCAATTACCATGAAAGTATTTGTAGAAAAGACAGGGAGAGAGGCTAGGGCGCGTCTGTGAGAGAGTGACTGTAGACGAGACGCCAGATCAGGGCTAATTATATTACATATCCGCCTCTGGATCTTGTCAAGAACTCCGAGGTAAACAGAAGGTGCCCCAGACCATATATGGCAGCAATACTCCTTGCAAGGGCGAATGGTTGATTTGTATATTTGGAGTATCGATTCAGGGGAGAAAAATTTCCTGGCGCGGCATAGATAGCCAATTTTCCTCGCGGTGGAAGAAGCAATCTACGTTGATAATTAAATTATTTTTATAATGCTATGTATTTTCCTGTCTTGTATGATTTTTCATTATGCTTTTTCTTTACTAATCTTCATTTGTTTAGATTTTTTGCTTATATATTGAGATTTTTAGATGTATTTCAAGAGTTAAAATACAATTTTAACTATGCGTAAAGCGCAAAGCCTTCAAACTAAATCCCAGTGAGTTACATGCGAGTGTTGCTTACCTTATACTGTCACAGCTTAGGGCACCTCGACGTGGTGTAATGGTTAGAAAGCTTGTCTTGCTAGATCAATTACGACTGAGTAGTGAGTTCGATCCTTACTGGGTACACCATACTTTCGGCCTTGTGCCACATCTAATCCGGGCTTAGAAAATCACTATACTGTCACAGCTTCGGTCTAATATATTGGTGTTGCTATGAAGCTACAAGTAAACACATGAACTGTATTGCCTTAACTATGGTCCATTAACCGATGCAATATTAACAAAGATAGTGCCAGACTAATGATTTTTATTTGATGTGCCACTGATATTACCAAAATACTCATAGAAAAATATGGTTTCATTTCTTTTCCAACTAGCTTTGGATTAAATAGTAGAGAAGGCTGGTCTAATCAGCCTTGATTGACAACCACTCCGCAAATGAAACTGAATTTCCAGAACACGATTCGATGGAAAACTCGTTTACCGTATAAACGAACATGTTGGATATTATATCAATCTATCTATCAGTCTATCTATCTAACGTCCGGTTCACACTCTTCCCCGATCTTTTGAACAGGAGTAGAAATTTATCCCTTGTTTCCTATTTAAGATTGGTTTTCCGATTCATTCTAAAATCTACTTCAACTCTAAATTTATAACGTCACTGCCTAAACTCTGAAATGTTATTTATTTATTTTCTTCCTTCAGTAGGTGTAGATAGGTTTCCTGAATAGGAGTAGATGTTTATCCCTTGTTTCCTGTTTAAGATTGTGTTTCCGGTTCCTTCTAAAGTCT